ACAACTCAACGACGGGTGTTGCAAGGTGTCTGGCACAGGTTTTCAATAAAGCAGGGGCTAATGAGTCCGGTCCGTGGGCCTTGTTTGACTTAAGTTGCTTCAAAACTTTGAGAACTTCGGTCGGAGAAACAGGGTTGGTGTTTTCTGAAGAATTGAAAACGGACGATGGAGAGTTGGAACGGAAGGAGGCAGAAAATTGTCCATTAAATTCTTCGAAGTCAGAACAGGAGCTCCTACATGTGCCACAGAGTTGCTTCAACGCCGACCACATCCCGCAACAATTCTGATTGTCCAGGACGGCTTCGACATACATCCAATTGAAGTGTTCAGCCTCTGCCTTGATGATAATCGAGAGTCGTTTAACATTGCAGCACCTGCCATTTATATACGCCTTCTCCTCATCACGTCGAGGACGTTTTAGAAGAGGCGATGAAAATCTGTCAGTACAGATGTATATGTATATATGTACTAAAAAGCGGTGTTCACATTGAACGACAATGCAGTTGATTTTCCTGGTAGTAAAATGAAACGAAAGATAAGAGCTGTTACACCACATACGGTTGACAAAATTAACTACTATACCTCGTCTATTGAACAACCATCATTGAATACTTTTCACCGATTTTCTTCTTCCATGAAAATCAAAACGGACACTTATTTGGCTCCGATTCGTTGAGAATCACATACCGAACCCGGTCAATACACGCCAGCTAATTACATCAAGGATTGGTACATTTGAATCAACTCAATCAACAGGAACATTGAACTGAATCACGTGTACACGGCAATGCAACTCATGGATCGAATGACGCAACAACAAAAAGAGTAAGCCCGTGACCTGAGAACGGATGCAAAGAACCGCGATCCACAAAGGATTTACGGTCTACCAAGTTAAACACAATGAGAACCAGGTACAAAAATGTGGTTGCCGGAGAAGAGCAGATCAATGCAGAACACTGCCACTGCATAAGCACTGAAAATTTCATCCCGACTGGTCACAAAACGCTTAGAAACAAATTGCCATACTCGGAGAAGATGAACGTTCAGCATGCCTTCCTCCAGTTGCGGGAGTAAACAACAACCTTTCTGAATTCGTATAGTACATATAAGTCCACATAATGGGTGAATTAACTTATTTCTTAGGACTGAGATGTGTACAGATTCGGGTTGTTCCCCCGGCTCACAAAAGTGACAAATTCATTCACACTTTCTGTGAGATAAAAATAAAACACGTGACAAATCTGATTGTGTGATGCACTCATGTTGTGGTAGTCGAATTCACGATTGCTCTTTCGTTTCCGGGGTCGATTTCATGCACGCATGCAACTGACCTTCAGTGTGCTCATTGGCATCTGATCCGGTACACCATGAGCACCACTTCTTAACCGGTGTCCTGATCCTACTACTGTTTCTCGTGGATTCTGCACAGGGACGGACGTTCTTCCGTACGAAGAGTATCACTGTGCACAGTTTGGCAACGGGGCCATGCAGCAAAAACACTCTTGCGTTAGTTCAAACCATGGAGAATCAGTTTTCCCATTCGGTTATATCCGGACCAGTTGCCATGGATGTCAGAAGTGGGTGTGTCAGGGGTAATGTAAATGTTCGCTAGTAGAATATGATTAAAATTACTAAAAAGCGGTGTTCACATTGAACGACAATGCAGTTGATTTTCCTGGTAGTAAAATGAAACGAAAGATAAGAGCTGTTATACTACATGCGGTTGACGAAAATGACTACTTCACTACCTCTTTCATTGAAGTTCACATTCCGATCGTCTCCAAGGATATCAAATCCATCAAGCAATGCAATGTCGGAATGTAACCAGCTTCCTGGAGCATAATAATAATATATATACATATATATATATATATATATCGCCAATGAAGCGTGAACTGAAAAGCTAGGAAGCACTGGACAGCGGTTTCAATATGGTTGCGTCTCATCAGCAGTGCGAATCCATCGACCCAACTGGGGATAGAACCCGGACCTCACGGACAGAACGCAAGCATGTTACCCACTCAGCCACCGCGCAGCTGATCAGACTGTTTTTCATTTTCCATTTACACGATATAGCACAACTCATCTTTGCGAGCTTGTTGCAAGCCGCAGACCCTGCTCATCTCAGCATTAGTCTCCAGGACCGGACGTGGAATTCTCAGTGATCACATAATTGTTAGGTCATCCGATCGTTGGAATCACTCGGAATATGGGGTGTGTGGGGATGGGCCAGGGGAGCTTAAGCCCCTCGTTTGTCTAAAATAGAAATGAACCAACCAATAATTAGAATTATCGTGCGACTTCATGGGCATTGTCTATCCGGTTATACTGTGCACTCAGCATGAACTCGGCTCACATCATGCAAAAACTTTTGGGAATTACCATTGTTTGAAATTCAATCTAAGTGCGGTGAGAAAGGACCAGCACTCCCTTAGTGTCTTGGAGGCACATGGTGGACATGCAACAGAATAAAATGATTTTATCTCTTTGACAACTAAGAATATTCATTCATTCGCAAATATCAATTGAACAATGGAGGATTTTCCTTTGTTATATAACGACACAATAACGATTCAATATGAAGGAAACGTGAACTGCACAGCTGGTTCAATTGTATTTCACAGCCGCAGTATCACAAATACGTCTTTCACATTGAGGAATTCCTTTACAGTTTATAAGTGGACCTTCCACGGGACCACTGGTCAGCTGATCGGAGTGCCTAATCGCACAACATTATGAGGTATGGGATGGGCACCTATATCTTTGAGTGGAGACACGTGCCACTGGACAAAATGTGCAACACGAACTGCTCGACCAGCGCATCGATTAAAAAGAGATAAAAAGTGCTGGCTTCGAATTGATTAACAAATTACGGGTAGCACCTGCGAACCGTGTCACGACGGTCACTTCATTTACTATGCAAATTATTAGACGATTCATTCATACCATTATGGACCAAAAATTATAACTGAGATCTGCGAAATGTCATCAGATCACAATTACCGTAAAGTCATGGCCTATTTTATTTCCTTCAGAGACCGATATCCACAAAAGGTGACTATGATTCGAGAACCAGAACCTGAAGTCCGTGGGCGTCGAGAAATTCTAATTCAATTTGAGATTACCAGACAAACAAATATATCCTAGTTATATGGAAAATCTTTATCACATTATTCAACCGTCTTGAATAATTGTACCGGCAGTTAAAAGAAAAATCTTTAGGTCCTATCATTTCTATGAATGTACAGAATTTTTTTCCATGAGTGCACATCTTGTTCTGGAGACATCAATAAGGCTTAACACCGCCACGAAAACGGCTGTCGACGGTCGCAGGCGNTAGAAACAACGGCGACAGGAATCGCAGTGCACAGCGAAAATTCCATTGGCAATCCACGAACAGCATGGCGCATCGATCTGTTACTCAGCCCACAGTGCGTGCACTACATTGTCTTGTCTCAGATACAGGGCTGCGATTGGTTCTTCTTCCTCACAGGGCCCAATCAAGGTCAGTGTTAAACCACTCAGCGTGTACTAGCACTAGGACGATGTTTAGCTTGTGCTTGATTGGTCCATACTAGAAGGGTCAACAACGTGACTGGTCGAGAGCCATCACGTAAGAGCGGAGAAGCATTGATTCACGCACTCGCCTACGCTTGACCTAGACTAACTAACCTATCACACAACTAGACCACGAACGCACGTGCAGTCTATCCGCCAATCGATGCTGAGCGCACTGTCAAGACTACCCAACTCGGCCCATCTGTCCGCACGGACGCACGTGGAATCGAGTGTGCCCGTTAATTGATCCGGGTGGCACGCTATCGCTGTTGGTGGAGTGTGTTAGCCGGCTAATGACATTCCAGTTTTGCTAAGCATGATGAGGTACTGTGTACGCAAAGCACACAATCGACTCTCATCGGAGTGTCGAGTTAAAGTTCTGGAAGCTCTAAGTTCTGGATTATCTGTACAATCTGTTGCTCACCATTTTCGCATCAGTTCTGCGACTGTGATTAGAATTGTCAACCGAAATGGTGCAGTAAACTCCGAACTCTCCCTACCACAAACATTCTCTAAACCGAGAACTCGGAAACTTAAGTGGCCACAGTTGGACGATGCATTGTTACGTTGGTGTGGTGCCACGCTGAATGAAGGAACCGAGATTACTACTGTGCTTCTTCGTGAGCAAGCTATTTCACTCGCTCAACAATTAGGCCTCACTGGATTTTCCCGCTATGCCAACAGTTGGATATGTCAATGGAATCAGAAGCATGGTATTATGCAGAACCCAGTCAATATGGTGCTATCCTTAAAAATGAAGAAACGAAAACGGGCCTTGCCTCTCCGAAAATGGGTAAGTTGCTCGAAGTTTTTCTGTGAAGCTTTGCGATTTCCTGGTTCTATAATTAACGTAGACATCGTCCCTTGAGTCTCTACCCACGTATGATCCCACAATTCGTTCAGTTTTAATCGGTGCGGTCAGTGTTTTCTGATCTGTGTTCACACATACGTGATCCCTGGTACAGAGTGCTGGAACCAGTGGCATTCAAAATAGATCTCGTCACCTGGGTACCTGTGCCCTGAAAATATTCTGGTTTGTTTTGACTGGATACAGCTGAGGGACTTTTGCGCAAAACTAATATGGTTATACCCCGCCCTTCAATTTCGTAGAAAATAGCACTGAGTGAGAGCGAAAGACGTGTATTAGCCATGTACATCCCATATGAGGATGGTTTGAGATTTCTTGGATTTTCAGGATGCTCCCAATGCAGTCTGTTGGACTCGAAACAACTAGTTTGCCTTCCGTGCTCAATCTTGCACAGTTAGATGAAGGCAGATTTGTTTAACGGTCGTCTGTTATGGGTCATGTCGTCCAGAACTCGGTCGATTGGCATTCATTACCGTCATTCGTAGTTCTAGTGACGTTCAGTTTTCATTTATTCCCCGGTAATTGCTGTAATTTCTTGATCCATAATTCACTGTAAAATATTTTAACCCCATATAAAATCCGTTCGATTTCATCGCTTGGAGTCATGTTTTTAATGCTTATCCATCCCAAGTGACTAAGGGATTTAGTTTTTGGAATATACCGAGGCTAGATATAGGGCGTATGGTTGCGGTCACTCTGACTTCTTTGCTACATTGTTCGACGTGCTCTGAGCCTATATATCTGGCAGATTTTTCGTACCCAGCGCATCACAATAGTAAGCCGTTTTTCTGGCGGTTGGCAGTTAGTTGGGTTGTGATCGCTTTTTTCGCCCTGTTGCCGTTACCTTGTTTTGATACCCTCTTGTCCACAATACGCTTTGAAAGTGCTTGGACAAAAGCATTTATTAGGTGATCATCGCCTGTCTATCCTTCTTACATTCAGCGAACGGCGAAGGTGGATGGTCTTGTAGGGCACACAAACACTACGTCAACGTATCAGTTAATTTGGCTTTCCAGTTCCATCACTGCCGCTCATTCGCCTGTCCCTCAAGTAGACTTTCGACACACGCACAACCAATGTATGTTTACTGCCTCGTCTGTGAACGTCTTTTATCGCGCTTATGGCTCACTCCGTTTCTTTCCCTGTCCCTCTATCGCGCTCTCACTGGCCCGCTCCTCAGCCTAAAGTACTGCCCGCCTGCCTGTGTGAGCGCGTGCGTCCGTGCCTCCTAATACACAGAGGCGTGCGTATCGCGCGCGGGCTGGTTGCCTGTTAGGTTTATTCCACCGCCCCAATTTTTGCATAGCCAGTGAAAATTAAGCCTAATCTTCATCGTCCTTAATGAAATGCTGCAGTAAATTGGACTGGTGGTTACAGTCAATAGTGGTTAGCCCTTCAACCATTTCCTTATTCTGCTGAACATTTGTTGTGGCGTCACGTAAACAGTTACTGGAATTACAGTTATTCTTGATCAGATCACTTGTGTGCGCAGTGGTACGCGCATGTACTTTATACGAGTGAAATCATCAAACCATACTGGTGGGTTTGTTTAAGCTCACTTTCGCTATTAATTGCTGTCATCGTTTTTAGCCTATTTACATTCGATTCTTAGGCATTGTCACCCCATCGTTCATTTGTCTAAAATCAGTTGGCTTTCTCTCTTGTCTCAATCTCTAGAGGACAATGGCAATAAGTCGAACAGCGGCCGCTTCATCCGATTTGCACGGTAAGTGTTGTGGGGTTTATGGTAGCTTATTAGTACCTTGGGTTTGATATATCGTGTTCAGTTTGTCTTCCCTTGAATCCGTCACTTGCGCGCACTGAGCGTGAGGTGGACATAGTACCTGTCGTTTAGATGGCGCGTGACGATTTAAGCTGAACTGTGATTGGTGGAATCTGTGTGCTTCGCTCCAGGCTGCGTGCAAAATTATCCCTTTAAATCTAGTGTGGTATGGATGGATGGGAAGCAGCATCATTGCGACTGTGAGGCGTTTTACCCAGTGTCGGCTGTGCATTGCAATGGTCGTTTGTTCCAACTAAATTGGTGGCAAATGCATAACTTGACACAACTGAACTGGAATATTATTGATCTTTCGGCTTTCAGCCGATTTGAATCAACAGACATTTTGTGGAACGATTTCATTTGCCTTCCTGAATTCTTCACAATCTGAGGATATATTTTTGTTAAAAGCCTCCAACATATGTTCTCCATGGAATTTTATAGTGGATAATTTACGCAGTTGACAAACTTCAGGATTTCGGATCCTTTATCAAAATGACTAGAATGCGAAAGATAGACCGAACGCATGTCCTACTTTTGCGTGAGTTTCTGTTTTTCACAATTAAACTTCCGCATTCCCATTTTTTTCTCCTGAAGTTTTGTGTTGTGTAATAAGTCATTACTTAACTGAGTAGTGTTTCGGCTCTTTGCTAGATCGCAATCCACCCGGAGTGGGAAACAGATTTAGGGAGTCAGCCAATGGCGTTTGTGGAAAGAAACGTGTTTCTGATGCACTGTTGGACAATGAACGGGCTCATTTCGGTCACGCCGCAAATGATTCGTTGTTGGCTAACGGAAAGATGAGCACCTCTGGTCGACCTCGGAAACAGCGAATACTCGATTCAGATACCTTAAATTGTTCAAAGGATCGCCTCTCTCATGTTTCATCGATGATTTCCAGTGAGTGGAGTGGATAATTACGTTGGCAATGACCCACCTTTTTGTCGGGTAATAATTTACCTGAGCAGGTTTTCAATTTTTATGCAACTAACCCAAAATCAATTGTTGCGTTTGTCTTGCTTATCGTTTTAATGCTATTTCATACCGACTCGGAAAAAATCCCTAGTTTCTGTTGTTACTTTCACGCAGTATTTAGGAAGTCAGAAAATTTTTCGCACCGACTGTCAGTTTTTTAATTTGCTAAATTACCTAATTCTCAAACTTCACATCGCTCGAATAGGCTAAATGCGCTGGTACGTTCTTTTACAGAGCTGTTTGACTAGATCCAATACATATTTCACACTAATTTGTTTCCAATCTGCGTCCAACAGAATTACCCGAGCGATGATATCATGGCAGTGTGACGCTGGCAATGGGCCATGAACGGTCGCATTCCGTTAAGATTTTTTTGGGTGGACTACGGATATAAAATATCATGCGAAGTTCGAATGCTTGTTCGACAGATTGAAGTTTTCTATACGAAGTTGCCAGCCGTGCAAACTAAACTCTCCCAGCCAAAGGGCTGGGCAAGAATTACAGATCGCTTAAACATTGAACATTTTCTGGCTCGTTGAAAAATACATCTTGTTAGTGTTGGAGGTATGAGTGCTCGGGAAAATATCCATACGCTTATTTATATAGCACTATTTTATCAATTCATGATCATTATTATTTTGATAGTTTCTTTCCTATTTTGCTTGAGATTGCTTCACGTTTTTCTGTCATATTGACCGGTACTCTGACACATGTGAAGATTGCGTTTCGCTTAACCCGTTTGAGATCGGCATCATCCTTATTGATAAACAGCCCTGTTATGGGAACCGGCTGTCACAATCCTCTTCTCATAGTTGCCTATCGAGAATAACGTGATAGTTGTGAGAATCCAGGGGTATGTTTAGTTTTACCCTCGGTGACCACTTACCTTACCGTAGCTTCACTTTTTGCTCACGTTCACTCCCGGTATTTCTGTCTATTGCTCATTTACAGGATGCGTTCCGTTCGAATGGGGGTCATACCTCAAGGAATTGAGTTCCTCACCCGTCGACATATCGTTTTTCTCCCACGTGCCGTCGGAAATACGAGTAGGTTACTTCAATTAACGTGGTTTTTTGATATCTTTCAGTAAATCTTTTGTCGAGCAACTGTTCTTCGTCCTTCTGCGTCAGGTCACTGAAAATATCATGGTACTTTATATAATACGGTTCGAGCGCATCATCTTAATCATCTGATGACTGCACACTGCAGTCGTCGGATAAGTCGAACCTCATAATAATATCTAACTAGTGGTTCCTTTTTTCACAACCGGTTCTGGTTAAAACTGAATTCCCAGTAACTAAAGACTTGTTTTTCTAAACAGCATAACATGCTAAGTGTGGAGTTTATTCTATCCTTTCTGTCGATCATATGTACTAATCCATTTTCTGTTAAATATTTTTTCTCCAGTTGTTTGAAAGTCACAGTTTCTCAATTTATTGGCTTAGATCTTTCTCGTGATGTAATCGTTTTCGACGATTTGGTGTGGCTTAGTCCCAGTTCGCAGTTTCTCGCGCTACTTATCTTCTGTTTTGTTAACAGTTAAGGAGTGCAGAAGACTCCTCCCGTATATCAGTTTAGTTTGCAATATTTCCTCCATCCGTGTGTATGCTACTCAATTTTTCGTAGGATATGCAAGATGTGGTTTAGTGTTCTCAGGATCACTGTATCCTAATTTCCCCTCAAATCTAGCTGAACGCATAGGTAGTCATGAGAACTGACTTTCTTATGTTAGCTCGATGCGCATTTCGAACGACGACATTATTTCAATGTATGAGTTCACGAAGTTGTGAGACCATTTTGATGTCAACTCGTGTTTACTGATGTGGGATTATTTCTAATCCTTTGTGGACCCTCTCCTCAGACGTAACTGCTAGGGAACATGAATTGTGTCGTTCAGTTGATGGAATTCACAAACGCACTGATCCCATTGACATTCACTGTTCCATTTATTGCTCTCTCCACTAGTCAGTTAACCTGTCCACGAAAGTTTTAACCACTTTTTGTATGATGAACAGCGGATGGGTGAACTCCATTGTCTTGAAGACCTGCTGTTCGGTGATGGAAGCCGGCAACCTAAGCCTCGGGACTTGGAGTGATGAACCATATAAGATATCACTAGAATAGACGCGGTATTGAGTCAAACGACAGCAAAACTGCCTACTGCTGTATATCCAATGAAACAAGTGAAATTCGATTACCATTCACTTTCACGTGGCTCCAGACGAACTTTAGTTGCGGAGACCTCTGTTTTGTCGATAGAAAATGTAGCGTTTCGTTTGTCTCACTGAGGCACTCCGGTACCTTGGTTGTAAATGCANATGCAATATCAGTGTGGTTTCAATCTTGTGTAATACGGCTTGGCAGCCCACAAAACCCGTCTCGCGTGTCGACCTCCAAGTTGATGTGCTAACAGTCCTGATCGGATATATTTCGAAATAGGACCTGGTAGCGAAACTGTTCAGTTTTTGCATTGTTCCTCCTGATATTGACGAATAAAAGCACAAAATGCTATCGTAGTACTCTAGAAGTAAACGCTTGTTTCTAATATGTAATCATTTGTTGTGTGGTTTGATCGGCGGTCTAAAATCAGATCAGACAGGCAGGCTAGCCGAGTCGTCGCGATGTTTGTTTGATCAATGTCAAGGGTCATCTCGAAGTGAGGTAATTCGGGTTACTTGAATTAGGATACCCTTTTAATATTCATCCTTGTGTGGTAGACAGTGTACAAGGTAAGGCCCACAGTCACAATGACCTACTGTTCACTCACGGAGTCCGGCAACCTATGCCCACGGAGTGGCGAATTAAACGAAACATTGTTCGGTATTGA